GCAAGTGACTCCCAGCTAGTGCCTTTTCCCATTGTACCGTCTACTTATCTCTCATGTAGTGCTAATATTGGCATGTCCACATTGGTGATAGTCCTCAAGCATGTTTGCATGTGTGTGCCTTGAAATGTTCCTCCTGTCTCTAGGATCTGGCAGATAGCAAGACTGAGCATATATTTGTGAAAAGTACAAACGAATGAATGAACGGTGCTTACCCTACCGCTTATCACTCAGTTTCTGGTGCTCCAGAAGAGGGGTTGGATGGATAGTAGAGAAGGAAAGGAAGTGGCTTCCAGGAATAAGAAAATGCACACTTCATTAGTCTCATGCCAACTGGCTTTCCTGTTAACTAGTTTCTAACCAATACTGCCATCCCCTTGCACTGGTTTTACTTTAAACTCTTCCATTTTGTTCTGACTACAACTGTTCATGTGTCCACACTCAGTCAGTGCTCACCGCATTCGAGTATGCTTCAAAGAGCTTTTACAGAAGTATTTGTGAAATCTCTTCCCAGAGGTGTGACTATTACTGCCTACCGCCCTTATATACAGCTATCTGAATGCCAGTTGTCAGCTTAACGGGATGCAAACACCTATGTAGCCACAGCTAAGATAAAAAAAAAAAAAAACAGATTACTGTCAGCACCACTGGTGCTCCACACCCCTACTCCTCCTGCCAATCATGAACCCCTTTTCCTTTCCAAACATTCCCCTAATAGCCTCTTTGTTACTTCCTTGTTTTCCCCAAACTTTTTCCTGCTTAATTTGCATTCCTATGATTATTTTTCAGCCTTGACTAGTTCTGGGCTTTATGTAAATGAAATCATGCAGGAAACGATACTTCACTGTTGATCTGTGATCCTCGTTGTTGTTCAATCTGATATCTGGGAGTTTTCCACACTATAGGATGTAGCCACACTGAATGCAATGGATCCAGCATTCCCATTGTACTGCCACTGACAACCGATTGACTCTTGAAGGACATGCTCTCTGTGTCGGCATATTATAAGAAACAATTCTTAGAGCATTCGTGTATATATTTTCCCAGAGTCAGTGTCTACTGATGCATGCTTACCAACTGAATCTCAAGGAAGACAAGCTAGAGCAACGGTCCATTTCCACAGTGTAAATTCTCCTACATGGCACCAAAGAAAAGTCACTGAAAGTGAACTTAGGAAGAAATTTACCCAAATAGTTTTAGTCCAAATGTGGTTTCAGCACAACATTGCCTGGGGTACGTGTTTGCTTATTTCTTCTTAGTATATGCCTAAGAATGGATTGACTCAAGTGGATATTAACTAGGAGATGTAGTATACCATTTTCAAAGCAATTATACCATTTAGGTCCCTTCCACAGTGTGTGATACTTCCAATAAGCCCATATCCAACATCCAATAGGGTACTCTTCCCATTCCTTTTTGTTTTTAAAATTTTATTTGTATTCGTTTTAATTATGTTTATGCCTGTTTGCTTGTGTATGCGTTTGTGGAGCCACATTTGAGTCTCCTGTACTCTTTCAACCTCTGAGCCATCTTTCCAGCACTCCATTCTTTTTTTGGGGGGGGGAAAGCTGGTTTCTCCTGGTGATTTTAACCAACATTTCCCTTGTACTGACACTTACTGTACATCTTACTATATGGTTGTTGGCCATCTGAATGAATTCTGTAATGTTCCTCATTCAGTCTCTTCTCAAAATTCCTGCTGGGATGCTTGGATTTTCTTATAGGTTTGCACGCCTTTATATGTTCAGGAACCAGCATTTTAGTTGGCTCGTGATGACTGAATATGCTTTTCTATCTTCTGAAAAATCATGCTGAAATTAGCTTGTTGTGATGACAGTGCTGAGCCGTGGGACCTCACGGGAGGTTTGTATTGTATGGGTGAGAGCTCATGGGTACGTGCTTTTCTTTTGGGAACAGGTTGGTTACAGTGTGACTTTGACTTCCTTTCTCTCTTGCAAATACATCAGATTTCTTTTCCATTTTTGCTGTTGGTATTTCGGGTTTTACCAAGAGTTGTAACACATTTCCCTCATCACTAGAACTTGGACTTCCCAGCCTTCAGAACTATGAGCAAAAACAAAGCAAAACAAAACCCCTTTTCACTGTATGTTACCCAGCCTGGGATATTTTGGTATGACAACAGAGAAAGTATCCAGTTAGGCCTGTATGAGACCGCTCATCTAGTGGGCTGCCTTTCATCACTCTGTTTTAAAAGACAACTCCATTAGTTGTGTGTGTGTGTGTGTGTGTGTGTGTGTGTGTGTGAGTGTGTGCGTGTATGCGCGCACACAGGTTCATGCCCCAGCATGTGGGGATCAGAGGATAACACGCAGGAGTCAGTTCTCTTCTTCCATTATGGGAGCTCTGGGGATCAAGCTCAAGTCTCAGGCTAGTGGCAAGTGACTCTACCCACTAAACCATCGCACCAGCCCCCTTTCATTCCTCTTCTTTAAAGAATCTACCTTTGAGAATTTCATACATGCACATAATGAGCAATGACCGTATCTACCTCCCATTTCCTACCTCACCTCCCATGAAGCCACCCCTTCCCAACGTCATGTCTCCTTATAGAACCCACTAAATGCAATCAGCGCCCCATTGTCTCTTTGTAACTTTTGATGAAAAGAAGAACTCAGAAAGACTTGACCTCATTTTTCTTTTTAAAATGTTTTCATTGTCATGAGAACCTAAAGAAACTTTGTGCGTTGCTTTCTGAAATGTCTCTGCCTAGCTTTTCTCACTCTAACCTGGAAGGAATTGTTTTTGATGTGAAGCCAAAGTTTCTGCGGATATTTGACCGTTCCTATGCCGTTTATTAAGGAGAAGTGTTCACCCCCTACAGTCCGCCCATGTTGTGTTTGTTCTAAATTAAGTCTCCGTGCTGGAGGAAAGTGATCCTGGGACCCCTACTGTGTTGTATTGTTTATTAGCCTATCTCCATGGTAGTGATAAATTGGACATTGCTTTCCAATAAATATTGTTACAGGTAGAATAGTTTCTCACAAATTGCTTTTCATTTATGTTTTGGCTATTTATGTTCTGTGTTTTCCCCTAAATTTTCAAATAAGCTGACTAAGATGTAGAAAGCCACTACCTGGGATTCCATTGCGCTGTAGATCAACTTGGGAAAAATTAACATTTTAAAATATTGAGTCTTCAATCACAAGAAGCAAATGCATCTCTTGACTTATACAAATTATTTGAAGTTTGCACCAAAATGTAGTTTTTTTGTAAAACTTTGACTAGTTTTACAAAATTCATTTGTAGGTAGATGAAATTTTGTAGTTATTTAATGTAACTTTGGGTATTAATAAAATTAAAAGTTGTAAATTGCTTTTGTGTCTATAAATTATAAACTCACTGATGAATAATTGTCCATATATATTGAATTATACGGGACTCAGAGCTTTCTCTTTCCTTTTATGTCCCTTCTGTGGCACTGGCACCATTACATGTGCCCAATACTTCAATGCTCTTATTTGTTTTCAAGTATATTAACCTAAATTGCTGATAATGTATTTTAATGACCTGTGCTTTAATGACCACGTGCCATAGCTATTTCTGAAGACTGACAGTCATGATCTTCTGCCTTCAGTTTCTCTATATCATGTATATAATAGGTGTGTTTTTGCACATTTGTATGTGCATGTGTGTTTGTGTATCTGTGTGTATGCTTGAGTCTAGTTTTCCTGCTTGAGGGTTACTGGGTCTTTTGTCTTCCAGTAATTTTGATTATATATATGTACATATATATAAATATATGTGAAATATATATTTGTATATATTAGATTTGCACCACTATACTCTCTCTCATTCATTTGCGGTATGTGTACAGGCATGTACAAGTGGGTCAGTTGTTTTTGTTTCCCTGTGTTCTTCTCTCAGGGTTTCTTTCTGTCCAGCTTCCGGACCCCAGTCTTTACTGCTCTCCATGTAGTCACGTGTGAGCTGAGACGCAGACCCCACTCTCTGCTGCTCCCTGTCGTCTCCCACGGTTCTCACGCAGCCATGTGTGATCGGAGAAGGCTCATTCATCACACTTTTTATTTCACGTTTGACTTTGTATAATTTAAACTTCCTGGTTGATTTGTCTCCAAATCTATGCTATGTTTTACTGGTTTTAGTTCTTGGCTAAACTCTCCAACCTAGACAAGGATATAGTAAATGCAATTAAATGGTCTGAAGTATGGCTGTAATCTGTGGAGTCCCTGAGGGTCTTTTCCTTTCTCTAGCGTGTGTGTCAGGATTTTAGATTCCAGGTAATGTGTCATGTTGCAGAAATGTCATTTGTAGGGAAGGCTGAAGGACTGGGAGAATTGTGCTCCATAGCACGAGAACAGTTCCGTGACTTGCCTCTGCTAGGTACAGGGTCATGTTAGAAAAATGATCGACTCGTGCTGGGCTCCTTGTTTGGTTTTCCTGCTGTTTGGGAAATTTGCTTAAGTTACCCTGTCTGCTATTACTCTGAGAGACAGAGCTAGATTAGAATGATCTCACTGTGTACACTGGAACATGCCATGTTCATTCCAAGCTCTTCTGTGGCTGTTTTGGTACTTAGAAGAAAAGTTTAAATTCTATTTACACTTAAAACCCTGGAATAGTCAGGCCTCTCATTTTTTTTCAATTATTAGATTTTTTTTAAAAAATGTTTTCTCTGATATGAAGTACTTTGTTTTGCTTTCAAAATAAAGCCCAGTTTTTTTCTGCTTCTACTTCAACTATTTTCTTCTGGCCCACTGCACGGTTGACTCACCTTTTAGTTTATGAGTTATGACTTCCATAGGTTAGGTCTGATCTAATTAGTCCAATACAACTTGTTACTTTCTGTCATTGTTCACCTTCCTGATACCAAAATATATAATTATCCACCGGAGGAGGCAGCTCAATGGCAGAGCACTTAACCAGATGTCTGCAGTCCTATGCTCAGTCGCTGCTTTGGGAGGGGACTATAATCATTGATTACTGTAAATTTTATTACATTTTGCTTATTTTGTTTTTCAAAGGTGTCTTCATCTTGGAGAACTGGGAATGTTTCCTCCAGTAACCAACATGATGCCTTATACCCCACAAGGCCAGTAAGTGTACACAATTCAGAAATGAAGGTGGAATGAGTCAAGGAAATGATTCAACGCAGAAAACGTAAACTAGACATAGGAGCAGCTGTTGCTTTGTTAGCATCTCTGTAGTGGTTGTAGCCTTGTGGCTATTGAAAGATTAATAAAGCATAATGCAGTTGGTCATTCTGAGTGAGTGTAAGCCTGTCCTGGGACCTCTTAGCTTTGTGACCTTGGATAAATTCATCTCCCCGTAACTCAGTTTTTTCATTTTTAGAGGAGTGATAATCAGGTGTTTATTCTTCCTGCAATATGAGTCTTAATATGTCTTGGAATTCAGATAATTTTCTATCTTAAAAAATATACATGCACACACACACACACACAAACACACACACACACATACATACATACATATACAAATTTTGTAGGAGACTCCTAACCAAATATACTAACAATTTCACAGTAAGATGTAGGCATATGTGGGATAATTAGAATATAAATGTCTTTGTGTCAATTCAGTTCTGGTTTTACAATGCAAAAATCAAAAGCTGATTTCCAGTGACTATTCTTTTTTTGTTGTTTGTTTTTTTGTTGTTGTTGTTTTTGAAACAGGGTTTCACTGTAGCTTTGAAGTCTGTGCTGGCCTGGACATCACAGAGATCTATCTGCCTCTGCCTCCCAAGTACTGGTATTAATGGCATGTGCCACCATGGCCTGGCTTTCCAGTGATTATTCTTAAAAACTGGATGCCTGTAAAATGATATTATTTATTATTGTTGCTACTATTGCTACAGTGACAATGATGATGACCTTAAAAAACAAAGAAACAGAATTTTATGTAGCCCAAGGCTGATCTCAAACTTTCTATGCAGCTAAGGAAAATCTTGAAATTAAGACTCTCATCCATATCCAACTCCCAAGTGTTGGGATTAAAGACATATGCCAGCATGCTTGAATTTTTGCAGTGCTGGGCATCAAATAGAAGGGTCTGTACAAGCTAGGCAAGTATTCTACAAATGAAGCCACATCCTTGAGTCCCTGTTTTCACTTTTAATGTGGAATTAAGGAGCAGAGTTAGCAGTCAACCTCCCTAAGATCACATAGCTAGTTTTCAATGCTGCTGAACATGGTTTTCAGATCAGTGTTCTCCCAGGCAAACATGATCAAAGACTTGAAGAACACTATTTATTTATTTATTTATTTATTTATTTGGCCTAAAATTCAAGAACTAGACAAACTTTTGTGGAATTCCTTCAGGTCTGTAAATGGTGACTTTCTTGAGATCAAAGATGATGATTTATCATGATCACTCAAAAGGATGGATAGTGATCATGAGAAGGAGAGATGTTGCAAAAGTTCGCCGAGGTAGTGATGAAACACAGGAGAAAGATGTACAGTAAATAGGAGTCAGTGTGTGTAGCTCCCTGCTGTGTACTGAAGATGGTATTGTAATTCTGTGTCACAGAAATGCTGCAGAGAGCTGGCAGAGAAGTCAGGTAGGAAGGACTAGACTCCTATATGTGTTTCTCTTCTCAGAGTGGCAAATGAATATTCCACTTGTAACTGTTGTTTATTACACAAAAATCATGTGCAAATAATCTACAACCTGACATACAGCTATTTATAACTGAACTACTACTAGTGACATACTGAATATAGGTCGTCTTCATGCAATGGAAATACTAAAATTGCCAGCCAAGGACATTAGTGTACGATTTCACATAAAAATATAGAGACGTATTTTAATCCATTTGTTAAAAGCTGCAGAGCCCAGCCTACTTTGGAAAAATGTTTCAGGGTTAAGCTTGAAATAGCATTCAGTGGTGTGGACTTGGGTTTGTATGTTATTAAAGAGGTAGCTGCAGAAACATGGGGGTGATGGAGACAGTGATGTGGGTTCTGTTGTGGCTGAGTGGGTTCTCTTGGATCCCTTCAGGCAAGAAATTCTCTGAAGCCGGAGAGAGGGGGACGTCCTGACGGGGGCTGTCTCCAGCAGCTGCTCACCAGCAGCAGTGTTAGAAAACACCTGTGCAGACACAGGCAAAACAGATTCAAATCTCCACCTGCGGGGGCACACCTTTCCATCGGCACAGAGATGCACCAGCAGCCCCTGGGAAGGGTGCATACTTGCTGGCAGCTTTTTGGAAAAACCATTTCACATTTTTTATAAGTGAAGCTGAAGGTGTGTTTTTAGATTTCCCCCAAATGCCATAAGAATATAAATTATAGGACTCATAATTTATAAGCTGTTTTCCCATGCTGTACACATAATCTTCCTTTAGTTACTTTTTGTTGTAAGAATTAGATTCCTCTACTTCAGAAAGTCCAGAGCAGCATACACTAAGGTTGACCATTGATTGTCTCCATTTTGGAGCATCTTCTAGATTCTCCTCTGCATATATTTTTCTTTTCCAACTACAAACATTTGGTATCCTAAGTAAGACATTCTGAGGCCTCCTTTTTTCATTCAGAATCATAATGCAACCCCCTTTCCATGTCAATAAGTATTTTCCTGCATAATTTGATGACAAGAATTATTTATGTGCTAGTATGCTAGAGTCTCTTTTTAAATTTTAGTCTTCATAAAAACTTTATAAGGTTGATATTATTATTCTCATCTTATAGCTGAAGAAATCAAGGTCGGGCTTAAATAATGGATCCTGGTATACACATTAACAAGTGGGGGAAACAGTCAAAACCCTGACTCATAGCACCCAATCTTTCCTTGGCAGACACAATCCACAAGTATTTAACCCTTCCGTGTCATTAAACCTAACCATTACCTCTCTTCTCTCTGCCTTCACTTCTCTCCATCCCTTTTTTTTCTTTCTCTTCCTTACCTCCTTCCTTCTTTATTTTATTTTCTCCCTTCTTCCACTCTGAATTTCTATCTTTTTTAAAAGTGTATTGAGATAAGATACAACAGAGCCAAGAGCTGGCATTCAACTCCTGATCCCACCGCCTTCACCTCCATCTCCATTTCTATTGCAAACAGGTTTCTGCTGAGTGTCTGGTAAACAAAATCTTAAACAGGTAAACAGGACCTGAGAGTGATGATCTGGAAGTGGTTGCTATTCACAGGACCTACTGGATCTGTTGCTCACGTGCTGACCCCTCGAGTTCCAGCAGAGTCAGAGAGCACACGTCAGTCTCTGTTCAGATGATATCACTAAAAGACAGGGAGCATAAGAAGCACCGACACCGCCTGTGGCTCTTTGAGCAAACTTGAGTCTCTGGAACATTAGATGACCCGGAATGGAGTTCCAGCTAATTAGAGACCCTCTAATTTGGGACCAAAGCCCAGGATGCTGCCTGCTTCCTGCCCTTACCCAGTCTGTAGATACACTGCTTGGACATACTGCCTGCCCACACACACCATCACATAATGCGGGTTGTGTGTCACTTGATCTCATTGGACAGTAACTTGATAAGACCTTAGCTGATTGGATAATGTATGCATACATGCCAGTGAATACACACCTTAAATTAGATCTGCACCTTGATGTTGGTCTCTGGAGTCTGCTTCCTGGGAAACTCATGACTGTGTCTCCCTCACCCATCCCCCACCCAGTCGCCAGTGAGAGGGAGAACAACACATGTGGTCTACATCACCTCGTAGGCAAGGCAGAGACATCTTGCAGAGTTCTTCATAGACACCTCCCCTCCTGAACAGTCTGGAGCCAGGAGATGGTGGCTCTTAGAGTGTAAACGCCTGTTAGCCTCAGTCTCTGGGTCACCTCACATCTCAGTATGGCTAGCTGCTACTGATGTATTTGAATGAAAAAGAAAGAAAGAAAAAAAGTGTTTGTGTTAAACCCCAGGGCTGAAAGGTTTAAACGGGTATTCATGCAATGGCTAGGGAAGAGCTAGCAGAACCTATAGCCATCTGACATCTGGTACAGCTTCCTAGTTCTAGGATTCTCTTCTGATCAAAATGGAAAGAAAGGGAGGAGGACAGGATGGGAGAATGTGGGATGGGGATAGAGGAAGGAGGGTGGGGAGGAGGGAGGGAAAGACAAGGGGGAGAATGGAGAGGAAGGAGGGGATGATGGAGGGGGAAGATGGAGAGGAGGGAGGGGAAGATGGAGGGGGGAGGATGGAGAGGAGGGAGGGGAAGATGGAGGGAAAGGATCAAGAGAAGGGAGAGAGGAGATGGGGAAGGAGGACAATGAGACCACGGGCTTAAATGAAGGTGGGATGACTTCTGAGCACATCTAAACAACCACATGATGAAGGACAGGACCTCATTCTTTACTCTCCTAGAACCTCACGTGTCCTCCACAAGGAAATGAAAATAACACCCCCGACTTTGCGGTCACATTCTGGGGACATTTGTGCTCATTTTTTTTTCTGACTGTGCACCTTCAGAGCATCCTGATTCAGAATGGGTACAGAGAAGCCTCCTCTTTTATAGTGGGGGTCTGGGGGCATCAGGACCAGATGCAGGAGGACTAGAATGTCCCAAGTTATCTGTGGGAAAGTCAGATTTTATTTTTAGGATCTGAATTAAAAGTCTGCTGGAAGAGGGAGGTTTGAGAGGACTCTCGGCTCTGTTTTCCACACAACCTGTCACATCCTTTCAATTTCTACGCACAGACACACATATAATATTCCGCAAGGGACTGGAGTTCATTTGCATTTGAGAGAGTGCAAGCTTGCAAGGTCTGTTTTCCTATTTCCCTCTGAGCAAATAGCCAGGCTACAGTCTTTCTCTGTAGCCTTCTGGAAGACACACTGCCTTCCATCAACACAGTCATCGGAGTTTCTGAGGAATCCGGGAACCTCTAATGACATCCACTTCACACCGGGGTGTGCCTGTGAACATTTTTTCAGTGAATTCCTGTGTTCAGAATGCATCTCCTTTCTCAGCGCCCACACCCTGGCCTCCTGCCACAATCAGAAAATGACCTGTGACCACCTGCACACAGAAATGGAAAAGTCACCAGCATGTGGAGAATGCATAATGGACCTGGAGCCGCCAGAGGTGGCAGAAGCTGGCCTTGACAAATCGCTGTGCCGCTTTGCTGTGCACAGTGACGTGGGAGGATGCTGAGAAGGGAATCTCTGCCCTACGCAGTTCGCAGCTGGGGCGTGACTGCAGTGCAGAATGAGCAGGCAGAGGCTGCGCTCAGAATCACAATGATGCCGGCTCTAGTTGTACTGTGGGCTGGGCGAAGCCTGTC